AACCCCTTTTTCGTCTCCCTCCTCTTTAGAATCTCCCCACCCCCACCGCAATGCGTTCTGGTCCACAGATCTGGGTTTGAATTGTTCCCTAATTTCCACTTCTGAAACCTGTGTAATTTAAACACTCTGATCTTCAGTCTCTGTGTATAAAATATCTACGACTTTCAAAGATTAGTAAGCCTTGTAAAATGCTTACTACAGTAGATGGCACATTACATGCTCAAAACAGTATTTACTCTTTTCCTACCACTCTTCCAGAAATAAAAGTTTGAGCTTGCCCTTTGCTTTTCTTCCTGTACTTATTCTGGTTTCATAGTAGGTGAGCTATGTGTCATAGAACGTCTTTGAGGAGCAAGTAAGTGGCTGTACGTTTTCTGACAGAACAATGCTTAAATTTTCTAAGATTGGAGTTGCTTATGGGGTTCAAAGCACCCACTAGCAAGACTTCATCTCAGTAAATCAGTTCAGTGATCTTATTTCATTAGAACTTTATTAGAAAAAAATGGTTTGGGTCTTCTTCAAAGACAGTTTAAAAACATTAAACGATGTCCACTTAGTCCTGCAACTGAGAAGTCTTACCTTACGCCCACTTATTGCAAAGCGTTAGTATCAGCTCCACAAAGGTCAGGCTCTGCCGTTCACGCATTTGTACACCAAACATCTAGAACAATGCCTACCACCACCCAGCTGGTCAATACCTGTTTGCATTGTTTAACTGAAGATGCTTTTTCTAGCTTGCCTTGTTTTTAACTTCCCATTCTTCGTCCCATAGATCCTGATGCTTTCAAGACTCCATTAGCCTGCATACAAGGTTATATGCTGTGGTAACAGGTTATTACACAATCTGAGTGCAAATAACATCATGAAAAATATTTCTTGTTCATGCTAATGTGAGATATAGGGGATTCAGTGTGTGGGTGGGTGTAGCAGGAAGTCTTGAAGAAATTTTGCTCCAATAATCATTCATGATCAAGGCTGACAGAGTTGCACTGTCTGGAACATTTCACATCTTGGTTTCTGTGGCAGAGGGAGAAACGGGATGATGCCAAAATTTTTTCCCCCTTACTCAGAAGTGTCATTTTATTTTCATTGAAATGAACTGATCACCTGGCTCCAACTAATCCCAACAGGGTGAAAAGTTAGGGAAGCATACGGAATGGTTAGTGATACTGTATCACAGGTATCATGTAGTGTGAATCAATTAGTAATTATTACAGTAAAGTCTGTTTATTCTGCCAAACTCCTTAAAGGCAAGGATAGGGACTGTGGGTGATCAATAATATATACAGTACCTTGGGTTAACATCTGACTTAGGGATAACACATATTTGTCCTGTACTGTTTTGTAAACTTTCCCTCACTTTGAAAACAACTGAAACCAATCCTATTCCAACCAAATTCTTCATCAGTCACCATCACTCACTGCTGTGCAGCACTGAAGTCCTTGACAAGGCTTGTTCAAGCCTTTTCTTGCATCAAAGGTATTTTAAATAAGAGTCACGAGCACCTGTTCCAACTTACCTATAACTTCTACTTAAAGACACTTAAAAACATTACTTTGAAACAGATTTTGCTTGTAACCCGGGGACTGCCTGCATTCCAAAGACTTGTTTTATAGAGCATGCACTAGATACATATTTTACTGAACAAACCATTTAAAACCAAATATTCAAAATAATTAAGCTTTTTAATTTTTTTAAGAAAAAATACTCTCCATAGGAAGGCATTGCTGTGTCCAACAGTGGCCAAATGGAACTTGATATAAACATTTCTGGTATCCCACCTTGGGCTAAATGCAAACTTTCAAAATCACTTATTAACGTACACATTAAGATACTACTAAAAAATTCTTTAGTATCTAAGGCTCATGACCAAATGACAAAGATCATCCAGAGTCAACATTATGTCCATTAAAATGAACTATTAAATTCCAGTGAGAAATAAATTTACCTAAATCAAACTACTTAACCTCTGGAACTGGCGGATAGTATTTCCGAAATCAAATTCACTCCTCTCACAACCACTAACAAACACACACACACACACACACACACACACACACACACACACACACTCATTAACTACGATTTGGGGCATGAGGGCAGCTGAATGGAGACAATGGAAATCGACAGATGTGAGGGAGAGGGAGGAGACACTTGTAAACTTGGTTTCTTTAACAACTGTACAGAGTAAGCAGAGCATCTAAAGGCGCTCATAAATAGCAGCCTATGAGCAATAGGCTACTGAAGACTACATACATCTAAATAGTCTTAAGAAATTCATTGCAGTAAACATTTAGCAAACTGAAACACAGCCGTGACTATAAGCTTTGCTCCATTCCACATAAAAAAGAATCTCTAGCCATTTTAAGGTCAAGTGAGAACAGAAGTGCAAATAAGAAATTTGTAATTTTAAAAGACCTGAAGTATAAATCCTTGATAAACGCTTAATTAAAAATATGTAGCTTTATTTTTAAATTATTTTAAATGTTCAAAGATGGCAGTTAACTTCACGCATACATGTAAAAATGTTTTCAAAATACCAAGATACTGGGTTATAAGATAGATACTACCTTTAGCTAGATTTTTCATCAAAAATTTCAAACTGTCGAAAAGTGTTGTACATTGCATTACCAACCTCAAAACAGTGCCATCTAGTTGACTTCACTTGATAGATGTACCAGAGAACAGGGCAGAACTAACTGCCCGGGGAGTTCCTAAAACTGAAAAGCATTGCCTTTCTTCCTCCGGTGGCTGGTGGTTGCAAACTGCTAACCTCGCAGTCAGCAACCCAACATGTAACCACCACACCACCTGGTTTCCTTAGGATATTCCCAAGACTAAGCATCCTTACGTGCGAGCTGAAGATGAACTGCGAACAATTTTAATGAAGCATCAAGTTCCTGGTGTGATGGAAGTCACATGAGCACCCAAGCTTGAGGACAGATAAAGAATAAAACAGTAGTAGCTTTGAAAGGGGGGGGGGGGCGGGTTTCAAGAGTTAGGCCATTTTCATCCATTGAGCAACTGTTGGGAACTATAAAAACAGAAAACTCATCCTTCTTCTCCAACTTAAAAAAGGTAATGAAGTTAAATTGCTATGTACATAGTTTCTCTATGCAACACAATTTCAGAACACAAAAGTTTATCTCTGACGTATCTACAATGTTAATTTTTTCCTTACTAAATAAATGCAACTATTTTATTCCTTCAGACATGTCATCCTGATGACAATATTTAATGAACCCAATGAATTGGGCTCTCAAAATTTGCACACACCTGTATCTCCGTAGTTAAAAAAATGATAACCAAATCACTTTGCATTATCTGATGTAACTGATCATTCTACAAATTCATAAAAGGAAATACTAAAGGTAATGGCCTTGTGTGTACATTATCAATTCCACTGTAAGAGAGAATACATACATGAATATACAGAGGAAAAATGATTGCAGTCACTAAAGCACTAATGGCTATGTTTCAAGGTGGTAGGATGATGAGTTCAGTGTCGTTCATTAAGGGAACGTTCTTTCAAAATAGCTAACTTTTGAAGAACATACGGGCACTACTACAAAGCTAGTTTGTCCTTTCCTGTCCATAAACGTTTAAAACTCCCAATGAACATGAATTATCCAAGTGGTTACCTATATTCTGATAGTTACAAATGTGATCTAGTTTAAGTTGGGGAAACATCAATAATCATAAAGTGTTTCCTCTAAAATAGAAAAAAACTGACAGCAACTTAGCCATTAGGTTTCTTGAGTTGCAAAATTCTGTTACCTTTAAAAAATATTTTTCTCCACTATTTTGTTTGCCAGTTTCTAGATACACACTTATCCCTACACCAGTTTGAACTAATTATTTAATCTTGTTCCCATTCCCAAACATTTCTCTCCAAACTGGTAACAGCACTATGAATCCAAAGTGACAGTGAGGCCACTTAGGACTGGTATGAGATGAGGGGCTAATCATCTAACAAAATCTTTATCAAAGCCAACAGTTTCAATGTCTGCAACAATGAAGTTAACTACATTTAAGGGTCTTGATTTTTCTAAAGCCTTTGGAAGCCTGCATGTTAAAGACTGGTGATTTGTAAACTCTCAATGGAAATGGTGATGGCATTCAATGACCCTAGCCAGTTTAAATTACAGCAGATAAAAACAAAACTAGCAGTAAATTCCCTATTTTTCAGATATGACCAAAATGTCTTCTTCTAACTCAAAATCATTTTGGACTCCAATAAAGCTTTCCATAGTTACACTAAGATGCCTAAAAAAGTGTGGATACACACACAGATATTTCATACGTCTTTATCTTATACATTATTCACATTTACTTGTAAAGTCACATAGAAAAAAATTTAAACTTAAAACAATATTAAATATAAGTTATATAAATGGTCTACTTATTTTCAAAACATTTGTCTAAGCTACACTTTCACTCATTGCCTATTGTTGAATAACCTTTAAGAATTATTAAAAATAGAGGTTAAATTCAAGCACACAAAACCCTTTAGACTATTCTGTAACGTCAAACTTGATGGTGGCACAAGTCAAAATGCAGATGCAGCTTTTCACATGTTGACGGCAGGGCACAGAAGTTATAAAAGGGGAAACCAACAAAACTGAAATTTTAAATAGCATATCTACTCAGGGGGAGTTATCCTCAGACACTTAGCTTGAAAGGAAAATATGCACAATTTCCCCAAGAATCTTTAACCTTGGGGGACATTAGAATGTTATTCAATGTGCTAAAGTCAATTTATAAAGAGATGACTAAGGCCCTAACGGTGCTTCTCCGCCACGAGTGAGCAGAACGATAGGCTACTCCCAAGCTGACAAAGGTCCATGCTTGTTTATAATGGTAGGCTTTGGAGGACAGCAGGGAGAAACACAACAACACAACTTACAATAAACCTTAGTCACATTTAGCTGCCATTGTTTAAAATTTCAATGCATTTAAGCAATTATAAATACTCTCATTTAATAAAACACCCACACAATGACAAGAATGAGACTTTAATCAGTTTTAAGTGGCGTTTATAACACTAAGAGATAAAGGGTTGTTAACAAACACAATAACAAATGGACATCTGATTGGTATGAGGCATTATCCTGTACACATCATATTGTTGGGGGGTTTTTTTGTTTTTGTTTTTTTTGTTGTTTTTTGGGGGGTATCCTCAGTGCATAGCATTTACACACAGAGCCACTGCTGCACAGCACAAGATTATCTGAAGAGGCTGAATCAGAGTAAGGCTGTTTAACAGACTGAAATTTTTTAGTATATATAGTCTATATGAGAACAGATTGAAATTTTGAACTGGCAGGGTAGAAGGCAACTCTGCCGCACACTGCAATGAAAGCCCCCACTTTAGTGCACAGTTCCACCCCTTCCATCTGCATGCATGACACATTAACAGTATTTAAAGGTAAACGAGGCACTTTGTGGCAACCACAGCCATCGTTATGAACATATTGCACAAATTTTCTAGAACTAAACATGTAACTTGTACCCTACCTTAATTTTTTAAAGCTGAAACATTTGATGCTGCCAGTAAACTCCACTAAATTTTATAACCTGTGCCACAGCAAAGAATGGTGATGCTTTTTACTCAACTACCCTTTAAAAATTATGGCAAAAATGTTCAAGAGGAGCTACAGAGGATTTAGGATGGTACAGGGCCCAATAGTAAGCTTTTTCAAACGGTGATGCCTTCAAGTAACTTCAGACAGATAAGCTGCTGCACATCCAAAAAGTCTAAGAAAACATTCCAGGAACTCGGAGATAACCTACAAAATGCAATTCAGGCTAATTATGAATACTGTCATAAATAAATTTTAATTAGGACTCAAAAACCTTTCAGTCATAGCAATTCTTGTCAAATTCTATGGGGATGGTAACTGAAATAAAGTATAGGAGAGTATGTATAATATATATTTATATATATATAATATATATAATGCCATTTTTCCATTTCCAATGACTACACCATAAAATGTAAGCAAGGCTTCTCAAAAACATTGAAACATTCAAAATCAAAACCCTCATTCAGACCTTCACATTCCAAAGGAAAAATAATAACAGTGCAAAAGCCCATTAGAATGTCATTGTTTATGACCTGGCCCTCAATGTGACGTATTTGAACAATACATGTTTTAATATGCTGTGCCCAAAACTGGAACAAAGAACAGTATTAATGACTATTTTCAAAACAGAATAAATGATTTTCATTTTAGTCAACAATTTTCCATTTTTATATAAGGTGACATAAAAATTTCAATGGTTAGGCCTTAGGAGTAGCTTTTAACTTTACCAGCTAAAGAGCAGTCAACCAATACTCTATATATCAATGTTGAGATACAAATGTGTAAATCCTAAGAATTTTGTTAAAAATTTAAAAATTTTATTTCTTGAGAGAAACTGATGAGGTATGGTAAATATGTCAACATTACGCACTAAGAATATTTTAGATGAAATTCTGCCTAATCTATTTACCATTAAACTTGATAGATGCTGCTCTAGTAAATCCTATGCAATATGTATTTGTAAATTAACTAGGTCAGACCACAGCTAGTGAACAATTTCAGCACCAATAAATTATTGGGATTTTACACCATCGAGACATATTGGTTGAATATCCAAATGTGCCACGGTATAATTTGAAAGACACCAAATTTGAAAGGGGGGGGATGGGTCAAGGCTGGGGGAGGGGTGTTCCTTTTTAAGAGTATCTTCACATTAGCTTTACAAAAGTAGTTGTATTCTGCTTAAAATCATAAGCAGTCTGGGCATATAAAATATATGATATTTAAATAGTGAAATTAAAGCCCTAGTCCCAATGCTAGCACTATGAAGAAATGATCCAACACTGCGTGTTCTTTAAAAAAAAATCTATTATTTCAACAGCGAATTGATAAAGCGTATCTGGGGCAATTTCTACTGAAAAAAATAAATGCCTTATATTTGTGCAATGCTGAAAATTTACTGCAGCTGTAATTTCCTTTTTAACACAAATAATGTCCTTTTTAAAACATAAACATCGTAAGTATTAAGCATTCAGTATTCAAGTAAAATTCCCTAACAGTTAATGACATTTAAAAAAAAATGTGCAAAACTGCAAAACTCATTGTAATAGAATGTGTAAGGTCAAAGGGTGAAACAGCTGACAGCTACTGGATTGAATAAGTGCATCATAAATCTTTTAAGAAAACAAAACAAAAAAACGCTTACTGTAGAATGTCAAATTGAAATTTCCTGTGCAGCATTATAAACTATTTTATATTTAATGAGAACAAAGAAGCTTGCAGGCAGCACATGAAGCATCCACAGCAGGTATATGATTGAAAACTAATAAAATAAGTGTTAAGTTGTTGACTGATGTAGGTATACTAATAGCATCTGACTTTTAGCACTGGCCTTGGTTACACAGGAGATGGAGCAGTCATTACAATTGAGAAAATATATTTAATAAATCATTGTCAATTTTTATAATGTTTCAAGCCCATTCTTGGTTGATAGCCTCCACATTTATATGGTTAAGTCATTGTTGCTGTGTTTCTTATTTAGGACAACATTATTTTTATATCCCTTCATTTGTGGATTCTTAAGATGTTGCAAAAGGTTCATTCCTGTACCCCAATACAAATTCACTCCCTCTAGCTGCCTTTTCTAGCACCAATATGCTTAAAAAAATAAAAATAAAATGCACAAACAACAAGCAGTGACAGCGGCCAATTCCTCAAACGTCCAGATTAATAACTGTAGCATGCTAAAGAAAGGTGCATGTAAATAGCTGGAGATGGTATATGGTCCAGAATCCAGCATAAAATATATTCCTTTCTGAGCATTCCCTCCATCCCCCTAACCCAAATACATGCATTAGAATGTAGCAAAACTTCTCTTAGCCAACTGCAAACTTATCTGTTGCCACAAGTGCAAAGGGGTAGGATGTGAACCTATGTATCACAAAGAGCTCTTTAGCCACTTTAGTTGGTGACAGAACACACAAGGAATAATTCCTACGTATACACATCAGTCTGTCTCCATTTTTTATAAAATTGGAACAAATGGGAAAGTGCCATCTTTATTTATCCTAATTGAATTTTAAATGTCTTTTTGACACAAAAAGGTATATACATGACACAGCTACACAATCTTTTTTTCAACTGGACAACAAGTGTCAAAACCCTGTGGATGTATAGGGTAAAACAAGATTGGTCAGGAAAAGAGAATTGTTCCTATAAACTGGTAATCTGTTACATGTCCTATTGCCATTAAAAAAAAAGTCCATTTTCAGTTTATTAAAGTTTGTTTTTTATGGTGTTTTATCCCTCCTGATTAAAAAAAAAAATCAGACTTTTGTAATTTGTGTATGCTGATCCTCATCGAAAGGCTCATTCTCTGGATCAGAGTCAGTGGTGTCAGAATATCTGTAATGATCAGGTTCATTGTCACTGACATCTGGCGTTACAGAAGTTGAACTGCTAGCTTCCGGGTTTGATGGCTCCTCTACTGTTTTTGTGAAGTACAGCTTCACCTTGAACACAAAACAAAACAGAAAAGGTAAAATGAAAAATCTGCCAAATCTTAAATTTCTTAGAAAAGTAAACACATTTTAACAGATTCCTTCTTAAGGACTAAAACAAACATGACCTTTGAAAGGCAACTGGGTTTTAAGTGACCCTCTTTAAATTAAAATCCCCTATATTTTCTTCCTTGTTATATACTGAGTCAATAACTGACATTTTAATGTACTGTTTTCAAAATAAACAAGCCACAACCACTATCTAAATAATTCTATCAAAGTAAACGGGGACTGAAGATCATTAGTAGCTCACATAATACAATTGTTCAGTAAAAAATTCAATTTACAAATGGTTAAGATCTGGGATTGTTTCACCAGAAACTCAATATGCTTCCTGAAACAAATGATTCTGTACAAATACTGACCAACAAGGACTTTTAGGATCCCATTAGCCTTAAAAACTTCGCCTAAAGGAAGAGAGGGAAGTTATCGCACAGTGGCCTCAACAGCAGCTCAAGGACTTTCCATACGCACCTGGGGGGGGGGGGGGGGGGGGCTGTTGCTGTTGCTGGGCCCTCAAGTTGGTTCCGAACTCAGTGACCAGAAATGAAAAATAAAATACTGCCCAGTCTAGTGCGATCCACATAATAGTTGTTATGTTTTAGCCTCTTGTTGCAACCACTGCCACTCCATCTTCATGTATGAAGACCTGCCTGGTCTTTCATCATTAGCTGATGCATCAAATCTATTCGTGAGATGACCTCTAAATCCAGGTGGGATATATGCAAGGTAGAACATTGCTATCATGGGCTTGTAACTACAACTTGCATATGAGTCTGTTGCACAATTGGCCCTTGGCTTATTTTGACTGGTAATGGAGCTTCTCCGTCCTCTCATTCCAAAGATGTAGTTAATTTGACTCTTGTGTATATTACATGACATAAGGTCCAAGTGTATGGCTGTCATTTATTTGAGATGAGAAAGTGATTGGTCTTGTAAAATTCTATCATGTGCTATCTACCTTCATGTATGTCATCTCAATCATAGTTTTCATCTACTTATCCCGTTTCCAACATTTATATTTGAATCCTAGCTAGTATTTATCAATGCATTTTGATCATATGCTTGATCAAATTCAGCCTGCACTGGTCAATAAGGAGATGCAAGTCAGAAGCACAATTAGATCCCACCTCATTCAAACTAGATGCCTTATTCATTGTTGGTAAGAATGCAAAACAGTACGCTGTTGCAGGAGTTTGGTTGTTTCTTAGCAAAAAACCAGAAAGCAACACACTATATGACCCAGCAATTCCAAACCTAGGTACATAACCTAACGAAGGAGAAGCAGGAATGCAAACAGCTATCTGCACACCAGAGTTCACTGCAGCATTGTTTTACACAGCTGAGAGTGAAAAGTAACCTAAACATCCATCAGAAGAACAAACGAAATACAGTAAGATATTATTCAAGCATGAAGAAAATAGTCCTAATACGTGTTATAACATGGGTGAACCTTGGAAAACATATTGAGTGAAATCAGTCCATCACAGAGGACAAATACGATGTAATCTCACTTATGTAAAGTGGGCAAAAGCTTATTAATGGTTTTCAGGGAGGAAAGGGGAGATGGGGAGTCATTGCTTAGGAGGTACTGAATGATATTTGTAGGAAAACAGTTTGGAAAAGAATAGTGGTATGGTTATACAGCATAATCAGTGTCTCTGAATTACATACATAAAAAGTATTAAACTATTTTTCCAAATATTTCAACAGAAATGCTTCTTATATTTACATACATATTTTCTCATATTTATACAAATATTTTCATAGGCCATTTTAATAACAATAGAAAATGTTTTTTAAAATTAAGAGTCTGTGGCTCATGCAAACACAGAGATAGAGAAAAGTAATAAAACCCTTGAATTCTACGTAATTTCTAATAACTTAAAAGAACTTTAAGTTCTAAATGCATCTAGTAGTACATCTATTTTCATTTACAATGAATTAGTCTCTGTTTCATTATTTTAATATTGTTACCAGCTGCCATCAATTCTATTCCAGTTTCTGATACTCCTACCTGTGCCAGAGTGGAACTGTGATGGATAGGGTATACAATGGCTAACTTCTTAACATTTAATTTAGACCACCAGGTTCTATGTTACAAGGTAACCCATGGGTGGATTTCACCTCTAACCTTTTGGTTAACACTAGCTCTGCACCACACACAGACTGTTCTTTTAATTAGAAGCTATAGCTATAAAAACGCTATGAAGCAAGAGAATGGGCAGGAGGAGGGCACGATGAAGAGTTTGTGGGGGAGGGGCTGGTAAGTCAAGCAAAAGGAGGAGGAGGACAGACAGGGATGGGAAGGAGGGGAGTGGCAAACAACCATTTGGAAATGTTTATACATCAAATGCTTTTATCCTATGGATATCTTGTGTACAAATTAAAAATATACACAGACTTCACCCCCCAAAACCAAACTGCCATTCAATCAGTGCCGACTTACAGTGAGTGACTCCAGGACTCGGGTAGAACTGCCCCGTAAGTTCTGCTTAAGGCAGTTTAGATTTGCCTTTCTTTTGAGGAGGGGCTGCCCTTTTAGGATCGCAGCTCAAAGCGCTAACCACAACACCATCACAAACAAACAACAAAATGAAACAAACTAAATTGACTCTAAGACTTCAAAAGAGGAAATAGAACTTTCAGAAGAAATGAAAAGGCAGGAAAGGTGTTTTAGAGAAGATGAAATTGAAGACGAAACAGGAAACGAGGTATATAAAGGCCAGGGGAAAGGCCGGGGAGTAGAGAGGTACGTGGCAAAGCAAGCATTTCGGAAGCTCGATAGGAAGACCAGTATGAGTGAAGCTCAAGAAGCAAGGAAAGAATGTGGTGGAGTTGACATAGAAGATCAACTTGTGCTCAATTATACATATCCTTGTAGGTCAAGGCAAAAAACCACAAGGACTTTACTAACTGTACACAGGTATGACACACAATCAAATCTACTCTTGAGGGCAATGTTGGGCGTAGTGTCTGGAGTCTTAAAAACTTTAGAGCGGCCATTAAGATTCAACTCATCTGGAGCAAAAGAGAGTGCAAGAAATCCAAGACCCAACAATGAAGCAAGTATACAGGGCTAATAGGCTACATGAACCACAACTTCATCTATCCTCACACCAGAAGAACTAGACAAGAATCCAGTTCACACTACTGACCCATCTGATCAGGGCCTCAATAGATGGATTCTGACAGAACAAGAGAAAAGAGAAAATAGTAAAAAATTGCTCTAAAACAAAACTGAAAAGGTGGGAGAAGGGGAAGGAAACTACGGCACTGAAAACAGTACAATCAGCCGGAATGTGAATGATGATATATTGTGAAAACTGTGACCCACTGAATCGTTTCTGTAGAAAACTGTTAAATTAGGACCTAATCTGAATAAATTTCCCCCTAGACACAATGAAATAATGTTTATATTTTTTTCAAAGGAAAGACTTATCAAGTATACAGGGCGCAAGCACCAAGATAGCCATGAGCCCAAAGAGAGACCTTAACAAATTTAAAGAAATACTCCAATAGTCTTAACCCCTTGAGGGGGTTGGGGGAGCAAACAATGTATGCAGGAATGGGCAGGGAGCACTAGAACTGATTGTGATTACACAACTCATTTAAAAAAATTTAACTATGGGGGGAAAAAAAAGAGAAAATGTTCTAAAATTGACTGGGGTAATGATTGTATAATTCTCCTTGATATGGCTGAACTACTGAATTATATGATAGGTGGATTATGTGCCAATAAAACTAAAAAAAGAAAAAGATTAAGTGAATATAAGGGAGAGGGCAGGGATGACTAATGGCATCAGAACCACCAGATCTAAAATAAAGAGAATGTTTTGAAGCATTATGAAAAATATGGACAATATCACTGAACTATAGATGTAAATTCTTACACTAAAAATAAAGACATAGGATGAGCCCTATAGGACCAGTGGTGTGAGTGGCAAAACAGGGAGGGTAAAGGGAGAATGGGTAGGGAAGAGGGAACCGATTACATGGAACTGTGGGTGACCTCCTCCCTGGGGGACAGACAACCGAGAAGTGGGTGAAGGGAGACGTCGGACAGGGCAAGATATTACAAAATAGCCATTTATAAACTATCAAGGGCTCATGAGGGACGGGGGAGCGGGGAGGGAGGGGAAAAATGAGGATCTAATGTCGGGGGTTTAAGTGGAGAGAAAATGTTTTGAGAAACGATGTACAAATGCGCTTTACACAATTGATGTGTGTATGGATTGGGATAACAGTTGTATGAGCCCCTAATAAAATGTTAAAAAAAAAAAAGACATAAAAATCAGTGCGCTATAAGCTATCATATTGGGAAGCTAGAGAAAAAAAGAGAAAATCCTAAGTGGGAAGAGAAATTACTAAAATTTACCAGATAAAGGGGGAGAAAAAAGCCAAGAAAATAAAAATCTAGTTACTTGAATAAAAAACATCAAATCTCAATGCCAAGGAGTCACTTTTGACTCATATCAACCTTGTAGGGTTTTAAGGCTGGAAAACCTTCCAGGAGTGAACAGCCTCAGCTTCCTCCTGACGATCTGAAGGAACGACCCAGTCAAATACTTACCCTGACATTTGCCACCATAGCGCCCTGGGTACCTGAAGAGGTCAACAAAACTGATACTACCCCCAGCTCAGAAATTCCAGGCTGGTTCAACATTCAAAAATCAATTCATGTACACTCAATAATATGTGCATGAATTGTTGAATGGGAACCTAAAATGTTGTGTTAACTTTTACCAATAACACATTATATATATATATCAATAAATGTAATTTACGATACTGTCAGAGTGAAAAAGAAACAGATGATCACATCACTTACTGGGTGGACTAGGCAAAATCTAATCAAGTCAACTCATGACAAAAGACTCAACAAATTAGGGATGGGGACTTTCTTAACCAAATACAGACTGAAACCACAGGAATTACTGGTGGCACTGTGAGTTAGCCACTGGGCTGTTAAGTGCAAGATGAGTAGTTCAAACCAACCTCCACCTTACGGAAGGAATCAGAATGTCTGCTTTATAGTCATCATTGACTCAATGGCAGTGAGTTTGGTTGGGGTTTTTGCATATATATTTTAATGGGGGGCAGGGAAGAAGGTGATTACGCTAGGGAATTGAGAGTGAACTGGAGGGGGAGACAAGAGAAGGGAAAACATTCCACATGAATAATTCCCCAAAGACAGTGTACCTTTCAATGCTTTCTACATTCCCATCTCAGATTTCACTCACTGATTAATCCTCCTCCTACCATACTCGTTTTTTTTCTCTACACAAACATTTTGATATTTAATAAGACATTTAAAAGTTATTGTTGTATACTTTGCTTCTAAATAGTACATTATCATTACTATAAATAGTACATTATTATTTGTTCTAGTAGGTCCTATGTAATATGTTTTTGCAAATTAATTAGGTCAGACCATAGCTATAGACCTATAATAAAACATACATACACACATACAGTTACCAACGCCCCCAAATGTTAACTGACCTTAAAATTTGGAGAAAAGTATCGGTTTGCCTTGTCTTTATTTGCCTTGTCAAGATCATTTTTTGTTAAAGTAAGTACTAGATATTCCTTGTCATTATCTGCACGCTCTATACTGCAAATACTATCAATTTCTTGATCACATACACTTCCATTTTCTACTTTTTCTGAGGTTTCCTCTGGTCCTGGTATGAAAAACGTATTTACCCAAAAGTGAAACATTTTGTCCTAGAAGAAAAAAAATGAAGATAAATGAATATCCAATAGGTCAAGAAAAGAAACAAATTCCTATTTGATATTATTAACAAAGGTAAACACAGACTAGTACTTGTCAATTTGTCAAGCTACCTGTTGTATCGCTGTTCATTTATAATTTTTTATTTTAATTTTAGACAAAATAATAATCCCAAAGGTTCTAAGGAAACTTTTGTCTCAAACCTTAAATAAAATAGCTCTTTACTAGCTTTAAAAGTGTTTAAGTTTACATGTGTTCAACAAGCTATTCCAAGACATTAAAAGTTCCTGGAAGTTCAATGTAACTTTTTGATAAATAATTAAAGCACCGCCAATATTTTAACTTCTACAGCAATACAACATAAAGGGCTACAATTTTTGACATGACTATGTCTGAAAACTTATAAAATATTGCTACAAGGTTATAAATGTTATGAAACACATTAATAAATCGCTTACCAATATAAGGTCTTACTAATCAAGAACTACAGTAGAAGCTTATTACTTAAGGCCTTTCTTTAAATAACTTTAATTTAAAATACATTAGCTAAAAAAAAATAAAATAAAATACATTAGCTAAATTATTCATTTAGTAACCACACACAAGGTGCTTCAAAATTTATATTATCTTTTAATCCTTTTTCCCTAAACTTTTGAAGCTCTCTCTTATTAAGAGAAGAAATTAAGCTAATTTGCTAATTCCTAAAAATGTCTATTCAATGAATCTAATAATTACACCAAAATTCTTGTTTGTATAAACCAAAGCAAACATGTACAAAGGCATAATTTCCCATAAATTCTCAACTTAAGTATTCAAAAATATCAGAAATATTTAACATCACGCTCCTGGAATGCGTGACAGCCACAGGAAACCCACAGGGCAGTTCTCCCCTGGGAGTTCTCCCCTGTCCTCTAGCGTTGCTATCAAAAGGAACGAACCCAACGGCAGTGAGTGGTTGAGTGTTTTGGTTTTCTGTTTTAGTTCATTGTGTTTGTGCTAACGTAATGTACAGATGCTCCCCACGGGCACTGGGTCAATTCCAACTCATAGTGACTCTGGGTAGGATAGAGGAGACATGTTCCTTTAGGTTTCAGAAACTGTAAATCCTTACAGGAAAAACCAAACTCATCTTTGTCCATGGAACAGCCGGGAAGTTTAAATCATCAACCTTAAGGTTAGCAGCACAACACTTGTGCCACAAGAACTCTATACATATATGTCTGCATGTATACACACACACACACACGTATACTAAAAAGTAATAATGGTAGAAAATAACCCTGTAATGTTAAAATATTAATACAAATGCTTATTTTATTAGCAAAGAATATACATTTTTGCATGCCATAGCCTTCTGACAAGGGGAAAAATATATTACTTATTTTAATTTTAATATACACTAGCGCCTCCTGGGTCCTCAAGAACTGTTTTTCAAGGTTATTGACATATAACTTTAGTTTTTAATGATACTTGGGAAATAGGTTTCTGTGAAAAGATTTTCATGATTTTGATTCCTTTTATTTTGGGTAAAAGAAATGACAATTCTTCCAATTAATAAAAAGTCGACATTAAAATCTGTGCAGTAAGTGCACCTTATTTTCTTACAAAAGAAAATGAAAAGGCTAGGAAAGTTAAATCAGCTCTATTATGAGGCATATCTAAGCTCAAGATTGATAGTTTGACAGCTATCTAGTATGTATAAGACGGTAAAAAGCACACAAACGTTCTGTTTTTCACTCTGATCTAAAAAGCCGACCCCTAGGTTCATCTTAAATGTTCATATTTAAAATTTTAAGCCAAAGTAGTTTGCTTTAAAAGGAGCTCTTATATTCTCTAAATATAGCTCAGTAATATGCAAACTTCATTAATTTCCTAAACCTGCATATTTAAATATAGGCTGCCTCCAAGTGCTCCTGGATCTTAAAAAATTCCTTAAGTAAACCAGAGCAGGTACCAGAGCGGGTCTATACAGTTCTGAGTTAACCTTACTTTAGTGTAGAAAATGCCTTAAGAGTGCATGTGTAGCAAGCGAAGAGGACAATTACTGTGATGAAGAATCTGTTGTGAATAGGAGTTGGCGGATCTTTTTAAAGTAAAGGCAAATTTAATATTAAAAAGGCAAGGAAGAGTTGTCCATAAATCAGACATTCATAACTCTGAGGCTACTTGTATGCCACATTTTCTGGTTCTTTATTACTTCCTCTTTATACATAATTTTCTCCTAAACCAAAGACCCTAAAACTTAAGAAACTTGGGGAAAACTCCAAAGTCAAACTCATTGCCATTGAGTCAGTTTTAACTTACAGAATACTGGTGGCATAAGACGGCACAGTGGTTATTTGTTGGGCTGTCAACCACATGGTCCACAGTTCAAAGCCAACAGCCACTCAGAAGGAGAAACATGAGGTTTCTACCCTTACAGAGCTACGGTCTCAGAAACCCACAGGGGCAATTCTACTCTGCTCTATGATAAGGGGAAGCTAAACATAAAATAGCAACCCTGGTGGTGTAGTGCTTATGCTATGCTGCAATCCCCATGCTCAACAGTTTGAAACTACCAGCAGGGCTTTCTAATCCTATAAACAGCTAGTCTCGGAAACCCATGGGGGCAAGGGGGGGGTGGTGGTGGTGGTGGTGTCCGCTATCAATCAGTATTCACTCGACGGCAGTTGAATTTGGTTTGAAATTTAAAATAACCTAGTCTCAAGAAACAATGAGCCAAAATGGGGGGAAAAGATCATGGAACAGATTTTATTTTAACCTGTAGATTTTCTTTTAGAAAAAAGACGTGGTTCCATACTTGCTGCTTCTCAGTTAACTAATTATACTTCCTAAGAGGACTGTAACTAGTTGAACGGTGTTTGTATGCTCGCTTTAATATTTCTATAAAATTTGTGTAAGACAATTTAAAGAAAATTCATTACAAATTACAAAGCCATATGGTTTTTCATCCGTCAGAATTATTTACTATTAGAATGTTTCAACCTTGTCACAGTAAGCAAGACATCTGCAGAAATAATCGTTTAAACTATAATTCATTAAATACCAGTCAAAAAATAAATCTTATAATATCTTCTTACCTAAGACTTCTAAGTAAAAAATCTAAGGGGCTCTGAGAAGTATGGTAGTTTCAGATATTTTTTTTAAAAGAAAAGTAAAATGCAAACCTTTTTTAGCATCTTGTTCTGCTTGTGGAAGAACTCTACTTTGATGTCCCCACATACAGGCAATGGCTGAGGGAATTCAAAGTACATGAACTTGTCTTCTCGCCGAGTGGGTCCTGAAGTGGAGGAGTATATCTTCACCTTTAGCTGGCAGACCACAAACTGCGGATCTGCATGGTGAAATACATACTAACATCATTTCACAGGAAATGCCACTAGGTGCCAAACGATTGACCAATATTGGGAACATATACAAAATAGTTTGCTTTTGAAGCCTATACTTGATTTAAAACATACCATATATACTCATGCATAAGCTGAGTTTCTCAGCACGTTTTTCATGCAGTTTCTGTGGTAAAATTAGGTGCCTCGCTGATATTCGGATCAGCTTATACTTGGGTATATACGGGGCACCAAAACAACACAGACTGCCACTGAAGTCGAGACCAACTCATACAAGTGGATATTAATTTGGCCAAAAAGTATAATCAATTCAGCATTTTCGCTAGCTTGAGCTCTGCTATTGGGATGAAAGTTGTTTCCTATTTTATAAATAAAGGTAATTCCCAAGATTAAACTTCTAGCAGTATAATGATAATACATTAACATAAAAATGATACTTAAATTCCTAATATAAACAAAGCATTTAAATGCCAAGTCTTTTATAAACTATATAAAAGGTATACAGCTACAGTCTTTTAAAATTTATACTAAAACTTTATATGGATACTTGTTACAGCAACTTAAAATTTCTACCATGTAACAAAAATCACAAAATATAGGTAATATATGTCCACAATATAACCTATAGTAATTCTAAATAAATTCCATAAAACCAAATCTAAATATTTATAAAACAGTAAACCAAAATCAAGCCAACTGCTATGGAATCAATTCAACATTACAGGTACCTATGTGTGTCAGAGTAGAACTGTGCCCCATAGGCTTGTCAAAGGCTAGTTACTAAGAGGACCTTTCTTTGAATGCACCTCTGGGGGGACAAATGCTACTCTGTTAACAGCTATGCTGCCTATATCCCATGTCTTCGTTAAAATAATTTATAAGCTATGGCACCTCTAAAACTCATACTTGAATGAATGACATGTTTGTCTAGAGGAGACAACCTTTTCTAGAGGCTGCTGGTCAATATGCAAAGTGTATTTAACCAGTACTCTGTATGAAGTATCTGATGTCAGTATTACAAAATATATCTTTTCAAAAGAGGAAAATGAAATCAGAAGATATAATATCTAGGGATTCATGCAATTTTCATTTGAATTTCTGAAAGCATGAAGAAATTGCTCCTGTTTGTTGTTTATAATTTATATTTAGTATTTGTTCATGTATCTCCTATCTAATTTTAAACCAATATATGCAGACATATAAACATTTTGTCTAATAGATAGCACATATGTACTTATCAATATTTATACACATAAAAATATACTTTCCTGTTCAATTTCTTATGAAATATTTCACCATACTTTTAGTATTATTAGTGCTAGAAATTCAACTAAAAGGGGATGTAGAAGGGAACTTCAAAAAGGTCTTGGGAAAATGGAGTTAAAGACAAAAAAAAAAAAAAAGCTTTATTTCTCAATATAAGCTCATTAGGCCATCCCTACAGGTCCTGAGAATTTAATCACACCAATGCAGTCATTTCTACATTATTAACCGAAGAAAAATGGGTTTCCTTTAAGAAAATTTTTAGGTTTAGGTAACAAAAGGAAATCAGAAGTTGCTAAAATTGGATTGTCAAGTGGCTATCTAATGTCCCACTGGACATCTTGCAAAACGCCCGTTTGGTAAAGGGAATGAGCAGGAGCACTGCTCTGGTAGAAGACTCTCGGGTCTTTCTGGCAATTTTCCTGGGCAATTTTCTGCTAAAACATTGGCTAACTTTCTCAAAACACTCTTATCATAAGGAGATGCTATCATTCTGTGGACCTCCAGAAAAACAATAAGCAAAATGCCTTGAGCACTCCAAAAAGGAAAACACAGAAGCTGTAACCTTCGGTCTTTATTGGTCTGTCTTTGCTTTTGCTAAACGACATCTACATCTCGGTAGCCAACGTTTTGGTTGTGCTTTAGCGAAAGCAATGGTTTGGTTCTCAACCTGTGGGTCGTGACCCCTTTGGGGTTTGAACGACCCTTCCAAAGGGGTTGCCTGATTCATAACAGTAGCAAAATTATAGTTATGAAGTAGTAACAAAAATAATTTTATGGTTGTGGGATCACCACAGCATGGGGATCTGTATTAAAGGTTCAAGGCATTAGCAAGGTTGAGAAGCACTGATCTAAAGGTTCACACTGGTAAAACCATGCTTCATCTCCTGCTACAATTATTCCAAGAGATTATTCATTATCTTGACCCCACTTATTTAAGATGTCCATCAAAAGCATTACTCTCATCTGCAGCTCATCTGGGTACAATTTTGGTACCCATGGGGTAAAATGCTTACTCAACTTTAATTTTTCATAAGAACTGTGTAAGCCGAACCACTTGAAATGTCTATGGTGTTGGCTGTTGGTTCCTGGGTCTTCTTCAACTAGAAAATTGTTTTCTTGAAAATAGATGAGAGTGGTCTGTCCCTGTGTGCTTCATCTGGATCATCATCTTGTTTTTTCTTAAAACCAATTATTTCTTTGGGGCACTGTCCCGATAAACTCTTTGGAAAGCATAAATGATTTCACCATTCTTCTACCCAGTTTTCACCATGAATTTGATGTTTGGTCTTACTTCAATTTTAACAGAATTCATGGTATTTTCAGTAAATACTTACTGGTATATCTATATAATATCTAAAGCTGTACCACCAGTAGCATATTTTATTTTTAAAACATGTGGTTATTCTAACATGGATTTGAGACATCATGAGAAAGTGTCATCTCCCAAAGGGGAAACGTTAAACCAACACTCTGTCAATAAATTTCACTTCCTTGATTAAAGTATAATGAGCCATTTCATAAAGCTTTATGTGATACTGAAACTTTTACTGGGAACTGTAGTTTGAAGAAGCAAAAAAAAAAAAAAAAGGGTACGTTTTTAAAGCTGAAATACAATTAACCAAAATGAAAATATCTTGTAATCTTATTAATTCAAATTCTATTAACTCAGAATCTGACAATACTGCTTTTAGAAACTTAACAAGTAAATTAACAATATATGTTAAATTTCAGTTAAAACTACATGGGGCTTTAGAAAGTTAGTGGGGAAAATGGAATAAAAAAGATAATGGGAGTCCATCCGTCCCCCCGGCCCCCGCCCCCACCTGAACCTTGTGAAACCCTGTCTTTATCCCGAAGCTTCCTGAAATACCAGGTGGTACAGTGGTCATGCATTAGGCTGACTTGGGGCTGTAAATGAAGAAGTTCGAAACCAACAGGCATTCTGAGGGAGAAAGACATAGCGTTCTTCTTTGGTGATGGGTTACCGTCTCAGAAACTCACAGGGCAGTTCTACCCTGTCCTTTAAGGTGGCTGTAAGTTGGCATCAACTCAATGGCACTGAGTTTTTCTTTGTTTCTCTCACCTAAAAACTAAATTCTTCCAAGTATTAATCGAAGAGTTTCATCTGAACAGATCACCTTTACTTGATTTAAAACTAAAAGAATCCATTTCTCCAAGTTTCTGTTAGATCCACTTTTTTTCCTCCTATTTCTACTAGTATTTCACCTGACCAGAGCCCAAATTTTGACAAAATCTTCAAGTATGAATGTCAAAAGAAAAACTAACCAAATCCCCAGGCGATTGCCCTACCACATTTAGCTTCATCCAAGTCATGCAACTGGTTTCCTTTTCACGATTTTCTCACACCTCTTGAACCACTTTTTACACAACAGTCCTTAAAACATGGCCTGAGACACTAGGAGATTGACATTAGAGTGCTTAGCAAAATGAAGTTCAATAACACAGAATCCTCTAAGTGTCAGGCACAGTCCACTCTTACTCTACTGTCCGTAACTACTTTTCTTGTGCAGCTTATTTCCTTCTGCTGTGCTTCAATTCAAGCTATTTCCTATTGTCGCTAACACTTCCTCCAGTTTTAATGCCAATCTAAATTGTATGCTTTCTCCAATGTTCAACAAAGGCCTGGACTTCCTTCATGATCATTTGACAACCTTTTAGTTTTTCTGAATATAATGTTTATAATTTATACATACAAGATCCCACTTACTACAAGTTACTTGTTTTATGACACAGCTTCAGTAGATGTATTAAATCAGTGTATAAACTGAAAAATGATTAAAGATTTAAGTAGTCAGTAATGTTAAGACTAAAAATTTAAATGCATTGCTGAGAGAACAATTTAAAAAAGTTTTAAAGGTAGGCAGGTAAGGTAGAAGTCATCTAGACTTTGGCTAGAGAGACAAAAGTGAATAAGTAACAATTCCCTTACTTATTATCTCCCCTAAAAAGCTTTCCTTTGACATGCTGACATTTATACCACAGGCAAATCATAGGATTTTTTCCCCTTCCTTTATCTCTCTCAACTCTGTTAAGTTCCCATGTCAATCATCTCCAAGAGACCTGTGAAATACCCTCAACAGTTTTTTAAATGGGTACTGATATGACGAAAGCATATGGCTACTTAAAAGCCTTTAACATTCTATATTCATGTATCTGTGGTCTGACAGTATTGCTCAAAGAATACAGGAAAGCAATAATGAAGCAGATGACACATACCTGGTGAAGATAAACGATATCAAGAAATTAGCTTTCTAGGTTATACATTAATTTCGTGTTAAAAATTTTTATTACATAAAATACCCTCAAGAAGCAAAATTTAACTACAAACAAACTTGCAAAATATCACTAAAATATTATTAGAGGCATTGGAAAAAAGTTACCTGAAAACTATAAAAATTGTACTCTAAAACTGTATACTTCTTAAACATCAAAATATGATCATTTCCAATCAACATTATAAAACTCAAAGAAGAAAATGGTGTTTTACAAAACTAAGTAATAGTTCTTTTTAAAATCCTCCCTTCACTAACTATATTTCAGGTTCAAGTTAGGCTTACTATCAGTCTAGCCAGCGGCTCTAGCGCAGAACAGTAGAGAAACCGAATGATCAGGATGACAGAGTGCGCTAAGTGAGGTTGAGAGAGAAACAACTAGAGGCAGTCATCAATAACATGACCACTAGTGTAAGTCCTAGTTAGTACTTTCCCAGAAAATTTCTTATTTTAAAATATCTTCATCTTATTGATAAGCAAATAGACAGGCCCAGTGTATGGGTCTCCAGTATATGATGATAGATGGAGGACTGAAGTTCTCACCTAAATCCAGGCTCATCTTCCCTAGGTACATTTCCATTTGCCACAATGTCTCATTGTTTTTTCCTTTCCTTATTGTCCTTGTCACCATTACTACCAATATCAAGTCTTCCCTGCCCTAATACCAGAACTGCTACTTTTACACTAGACTGCTGATCAAATCAAGTTTTTAGTTACCTCACTGAATTTTAGACTACATTCAGTAGTGGTAGCATACAACATTTCAAAGACATAAGTTGGAATAAACTTGATGAGAGTGAATGAGTAAGACTCTTATCCCAGTATGTTGATCACTTGAGCTAAATAATCAATTCAGACACTTCAGAAATGTACTCGTTTATAAATTTACAACGTGGTATAAGTTTAAAATGAATTTTAAACATGTAGATTGTGTAGAAAAGTGTTCCAACACCTAGAAGGACAAGAATTGAGAGTACTTACTGCAAGTTCCACCACTGAACATTGGAATAGTTTCAAACATCATCTTGTGAAACAACAGTGCCACTGGTCTGTAATCCAGATGATTCTTTAACAGGTAGCTGTAATAATACACATAGCGCCTCTGACTGGGAATAGTTACTCCCTGGTGAACAGAAAAAAAGAGAGAAGCCAAATTCAAAAGAAGCATTTCCTTAGAGTGATTTATTAGATGGTTGTTTTTATTGGGTTAGGCCCACTAAAGAACATATATACATTAGAAATTTGACTTTATAAGATTAATACTTGCATCTAGCTCAATAAGAGTAAACCACAGCAATATCTATACGAAGGAACAGAATAATTAACTATTCTCCCTTACAATATAATTTTCCTCACATTCCATTTGTTCAACGCTCTGAGCCAAGAACCCAGGAAGCAAAAGCAACTGACTGTACAACCACAGTAACTACCAGAGGCCTCAGCACTAAAGCTGTGCTCTTAACCCTGGGCTCCCATCTGGATTTATGGACCTCCATTATACACAGAAATCCTCACAAGCTTAGTTGCCTGAACTTTCCAGGCATTGTCTGGAAAGAGTGCCATTGCCTTTAAGAGACAAGGATAGACAAAAATAGCAGCAGCATAGAAGTGCTATTTGCCTTCAAGCCCAACAAAAACAATCTGATAGAGGTGTCTCTGTGCTGAATTTCTTTCTTATTAAAAAAAAAATCAAGAAAATACACATATTTTAAAGAACATTTAAGTATTATAAGTGCTGAAAATATACTAAAGTAATATTCAAAAGCTGCATTCCTTTCTTATTTGAAATATTCAAAAGCTGCATTTCTTTCTTATTAAAAAAAATCAAGGCAATACACATATTTTAAAGAACATTTAGGTATTATAAATGCTGAAAATAAAACTAAAGTAATATTCAAAAGCAGAGCTAGTTATCTAAAGAAAAAAAAAATCTATTGTGTACAATACTGCATTCACTAACGATGCTCAATAAGTGAGCTATCAGAGTATTCAATGAGGTTTCTTTTATTGTTGTATAGTGCAACTTCAGAAAAACTCAAGCAAATAATATATTAAGAACCCTAACATTCAAAAGCAATTTTCATGAAACTACATTAAATGAAGCTATACTTAAGAGAAAAAAAATCTGCAAATCTTTTCTCTTTAGTTTAGTACTAGTACCCAGATCTCCTAATGTGTCAAAACTTCTGGCCCTAAGTCCCCATTTTGACCGTAATGAAAAGTATGTGGCACATTTATGTAGCTTTAAAAGGTATACTGGTTGGCAGGTATACAGGTTTTCACTGTACTACTCTTAATATACATATAAACACATATATTTTAACAATATATATATTTATACAGATATATGTGTGTACATATACATACACAGGTTAGAATGATTTCATTACAAACAAAATAAAAATATAACAATACCAAAAAGAGGCATATACATTATTTATATATGTTTAAAATTTTTTCTTTTTTATTATTATTTTCTTTTGATATACTTTAAGTTTGGTTGTAGTACAATGACCAATTACTGTTGGTCAAAACATAAATTCTAACTTCTGCCTTCAGGAAAATGAGGACAATAATACCTACCCTACTTGCCTCACAGGAGGAATCTCAGGGAGACCAAACATCAACTGCAGTTACACAAAACTATTATACAACAACAAATTGGCACACAAATACTAATTAACAGTTTTAGAGGTGTGATATTTAAGGTTAACAACTTTGGAATAGCTTGGATTTTATTTCTATGTATTTTTCTTAAGGTAATATACATTACTTTAAGGAGTTGTTTCAAATATTATCATTAAGTTAAACATTTCCTAATTTAAAAAATAGTTAACTTAGTTTCTTATTATTTAGTACTACCTTAGCAAACAACTTTTCATTCATATTTATTAAGGGGAAAAAAAGAAAAACAGAACTGCTAAATGGGATGAAAGAAACAGATCAAAGATAGTAGAGAAAAGATACTTTTAAACCATGTCAAGTTTGAAGCACATGAATCTATTATTCAGGCAAAATACAGTGAATTCAATTGTAAGTGTATCAGGTGACCAGGCTGTCAGGGGTTAGTGGAAAAACTCTTAAAATTTTATCTTTCTTTCCTATCTTGGTTTAAGTTGGGATTCAATAATCAAAAGACTTCAAAGCTTCAACTTTTCTCAAATAAATGTAGTTAGTAGTACATGTCTAACGTATGTTATTCACTTAGTTAATCCTTACAAAAAGGGCTAAGCAAATATGTAGCAAAAGAATATATGAATCTACTAGTTATCAATAGCAGACAAATAACATGTGAAAATACCAGGTGAACCACATGTCAAGACAAAATTACTAAACCAAAGTACTGATAAAATTCAAAGAAGTATGAAAAAGCATAGTAATTTAATTGCATCTATGATTTTGTTCATATTATGCTAATTTACACTTCTGAATATTTATAATGATCTTATCCAACTATTTGCTTGCAAGAACCTTAAATGCAACATGCTAGTCTAACAGAAAAAACAGAGTTGAAAGGGTCACGCGCCACTGGCCTCAAAAGTATCCTGCAGAAGCTGGAACCTGTGTGTAAGGCAGAAAGCTGCCAGAAGAAAAACTGAAACAAGCGATAAAAAGATGGTTAAAATGGCACCCATCAAAGGCAGAAGACTCGTGAGACCTAGAAACACAGGGCAATTCCATTGAGTTCCGGCTCTCACAGGTCTCACAGTGCAATGATTCACCTTGTCGGCAAGAATTTGAAATGAGTAAAACTTAAAATGAGTAAATTTTCCACATGAAATTGCAATAGAATTAATAATACCATCACATCACATAGTCCTTGTATGAAGATACTGAGAATACATAATCCACATTCTTTATATATTTGTGTTTTTAATATGGCAATGTAATGTGAATATGTAGCTTCTAAAAATTTAAACCTCACTTTACTTCAAATCTTTACTTTATACATATGAAAATATAGAACCATAAAACTTAAAAAAAATAAAAATATTGTATGCTTGCAAATTTTCCATTTTTTCACTTACATGAAAGTTATACTGCTCTATATCTTAGAAAGGTTCAGCTCCACTCTATTAATTCTCTAACTCTCCTTTTCCACTCTAATTGTGAAACAATCCTCTTATTTTTCTGAATAAAACTTTCAACACGTTCTAATTTAAAGTAATTTAGCATTCCTCATTTGGCACCATATTCCTGGCCATCAAGTGAAAAACAATTCTCCACTTGCCTTATGCTCAAAACCAGGAGGTGGGAATCACTCTTGGTGTATCTTCACTGTTCTTCCCACTACTCCTTCCAGCTCTCCTTTCTACTTGACCTATTTGAAACCCACATCATTCAACAACTCTTTCTTCTGGTACATACCTACAAAGTTCTTGACCACAAAGATACCAGCACTCGCTTTATCCCTATTGTATTTTTATGCCGCGCCAGACAACATCCTCAATGAACTCAGCCCCTAAATGAGAACTCTGAGGTCATCCAATATTAACAGCCTTAAAAAGTCCCTTCTCCCAACTTAAACTTCTACACTTGTTATCTTGCAAAGGCTTCTCTTCCTGTCCAATAAAGTTCCACTTTGGCAAGTGCTCTATTCATTGTCTTTCCTGGCATTCACCTTTTATTCTCTACCATTTGTCTTCTTTTAAGAAGAGTTCAGTCAAATCTTATCTCCTACCCAAAACAAGCAAACAATTCAAAGACCAAAAGCCAATACTCTCCCCACATTTTGTAAATCTTTCAAATCATCATTCTCTCTATGTAACAGAAAAGCTCCAGGTAGTCTCTGCTTCTTAAACCATAGGAAGCTAGTTTTAGCTATTAACTATCCACCAAATTTACTAGTTTTCCTGATCCCTCCCCTGATCTTTTTGCAGCATTATAAACTGTTTCCTCCTACCCTTGTTGGCTGTCTCTTCTCTTCTTGCCCCTAAATGTAGGTTTATCACCCAAAAAACTTAAAAATTGACGTGTTACAATCTTAGCTATTTCAATACTTCAATCTCATAAACTTCACAACCCTAAATTTGACTTTAATCCCAACTCGCGAACTAGAATTTCCAACAATTGGCTGAACATTTCTCCCTAAAATCCCAGTAGTACTTAATAAACAACATATCCCAAACCAGAGGCTGTCATATTTTTAAAGGGTCAGCTTCTCGTTCACCATTCTCTCCTCTATGGCATTCACCTTTATTCTCTACCACTGTCGTTTAAGAACACAGTTCAGTCAATCCATATACTTTATCCAAAACAAGTAAACAATTTACTTGGGACCAAAGCCTTTCCTAACACACACAACCACCTCTTACTAAACCCTTACCAAGTTCTTTGCACTATTAGGAAAAAATATAATCTAACACTTACAAAATCATATAAAGTGGGCATTACTGGTGTCCCCACCTAACAGGTGGTATATGGTGTAGTAGTTATATAATCATTTGACAATTTGATAGGATTATGAGTGAAGGGGTGGAGTCTAGCCTGTCAACCAAGTAATAGACAATGAGGCATCATTTGTGGGCATCACAATGTGGGCATGGCCTTCTCCTGAGGATTCTGGGAACTCCTGTATTCCTCCTTGGAGGCAGGAGACACACTCTCTCGCAGCTCACTCTCTGTGACACTACTGAGGAGAAGCCACATGAAGCAACCCTGAGGCAGTCAGAGCTTCAGAAGTGAAGTAACAAAGTGGAGACCCCTGCCAGCTGCCAGCGCTGAGATGCTTACAATGCCCCTGGATCCACAAGACTTCCAACTCACTGGCCTGTGATCTTCCTGCATTCGGCGTCATTGCATGCGTTTTGTTGAGTCAGAAGAGGACTTTATAGATTTGTATCAGACATGTGGGTTAATATTGGACTTATGGACTTGATCTGGACTGGGCTGTAATGTTTTCTCAATAGTCAACTGCTCTTGTATATAAACTCTCACTTATACAAGCATGAGTCTCCCTGGATTTGTTTTTTGGTTAGTCCACTTAGACTAACAATCAGGCCACATATCTGAAAAACAATGAAACTTGGTTTCATGCTAACACTCAAAATCCAGTGCTTCCATGAGGGCTACTAGCCTGCCATCTTCTTCCTGCTAGAGTGAAGGAAACCGAAACCTGAGCAG